GGATTTTTTTCATGCCCAGGGTACCCCGGGCGAGGTACCTACCCGGTCGAGCGCCCCGGGAAAGCTAGATGTGGACACAATAACGATGATAAAAATTTCCTTGTGTAGGTACGGGCATATCAAGTGCTACATTGTGATAATAACTTTTTTTTTTTTTTTTTTTTTTTTTGGGTCCATTCCCAACTTCCCACATGTGCTGCTTTTTGCCAAAAATCCCAAGAAACCCTTGAACCTCTTAACATTACATCAGTAAAACACACTGCTCCACACTGTTTCTAGCCGTGGGAGGCAATCACTTGTTCACTGCGATTCATTTCTTTACATTCTTCGTAGGTGTAATAATGGTGAAAAAAGATAGATGGTCTAAGATATATCTTGCATCTGTGTGTTTTCCTGCGCTTCATAACTATGTACGTGCCCTTCTCTGTCTTCTTGACTATGCCTTACATGCCTGTGCACATCTAATCTAGATTGTGTTTCCCTACCTATAGATATAAACCTTATAATAGTAGAAGAGACATCATCAAATACAGTCGAAAGGAAGAATGACAAGATAAAACTTAGCAAAAAGAACAGTTTCAGTGCGCCTCATTTCCACCTACCTTTTTTTCCCCTTTTTCTTCCCTTTCTTTTTTGAAGTTTTTTTCGCAAATTGCACTCTTTTAGTTGCGTATCAAGAATTCTAAAAGTGGTAAAATATCTCAAAAAAAAAAAAAAAAAGTGGTAAAAATTCCGTAAAATAGTAAAAATACACGACAGCATCACTCGTTTTTCTTTCTTGTTAACAACTGCATAACTCAAGAGATTTTATCCTTCTAGGGGTGCAAACAACTTTAACAAGGGCATCTTTTCCCCACAACCCTGAAATTGGGAACACAATGTAGGGTTGGTTGTTTATAGGGGGGCATATATGGGTGCATAAATGTCATTCTAATTTCCCATGGTTTTTTGAACTTATTTCCTTGATATTTCATACAGTGACATCCTCCACTTACGCAGATTCTTCATTTCCGACCGTCAATGATGAAAATCAACGGACAGAAAACGTTGAATCTAGATCAGTGGGACTTCAACCCCGTCCCTGGGAAAAGAGAATAAAGGAAAAGGGAGTTCGCCCCTGGACCATTTCATAAACAACTTTTAACAAAGTTAAACAAAGTCAAATTTCAAAACAGAATGAACAAAAAAGTTGAAGCAACCCCCCCTCCCAAAAAAACAGGTGAAAAGGAGTTGAAATAAACCACCATGACCTTGTTCACCTTCACAACCAACTTTCTATGGTGGTTTAATCTGACGCTTGATGGGTTTTTTTAACTTTTTAAAACGTTTTTTGGGTCTGAAGCTGCAAACCCGCGCGTCATTTCCGGAGATGGTAGCGGACGGACGGCGGAGGTGGGAGAGGTACGCAGGATTATGACGAGGGTAGAGGATGCGGTGGTAATCCCCCTGAGGAGGACCACGTGGCGGCGGTCGAAACCGGTCGGGGTGCCATACCCACCGGCGTACAAGTACAATCGTAATCGTTTGTCGTGCTAAGTACTGTGTACTTTTGTACATCGTAATTGCGATATCCATCAACTGTGTTCTTACTCACTGAAGTGCATGCGATATCGACTCTCAACAATCTCAACAATCATTGGTATGCCTGTTGAGTTTAAACTTTAAGCCGCTAGTAAACGACCCTTGCTTTGTAGAAATTTGTCCGTCGCCTACTACTCTGGAAATTTTGTGGCTCGGGCCTACTGGACCACAATGGCTCGCGGTGCCAGCCAAAAAAGAAAAAAAAAAGTGCCCTGCTGGCTGTTCGGAAAAGCTTTGTGTTCAGCCTCCAGACCTGGGTGTACTTGTCGTTTAATCCTGTGAGCAGTGAAACACAATTACAGGAAGTTATATGGACTCATATAGAAACTTAAAGCTCAAATAAGTTTCGATGAAAAGCATGAACTTATAGAAACTTAGAGCATGTACACGCGAGGACCTTTTTCTACCAAGCTCTGGACGCGATTGCAGTAAAAGATGCATCCATGTCCAGTCGTAATTACAATCAGATACATTTAGGGAAAGTGCTATGGTGAGTATGCCCTTTGAGAAACTTAAGGAAAAAAGATTGCTACGAGTACCCTGCTCCATACTTTACTTGTCAATGTGGTTTCGTCTTGTTCTTTGCAGTGCCCTCTTTATCCACGTGCCACATGCAGTATCAACAACTGTGGGAAATGCTCAGCATCCTTTGAAGTAGATGGTCGGAAAGTGGACTGCTTCAAAGGTAGAATAAGCAATGATTTCTCCTTCCTTTTCTTTTCTTTTCCTTTCCTACCTTTTGCTTTTTTGAATTTTTTTGTTCTTCGAAAGTCTTTCCTCATTTTTAAATATTTATTTTCCCCTCTCTCTTTTTGCCTTGTTTCTATGCTCTCCTTGAAGGGTAAACCTCTCACCTCCTCAACTTTGCTCTCTCTCTCTCTCTCTCTCTCTCTCCCCCCCCCCCCCTCTCTTTTCAAGTGTATCTACTAGAAGTATCTAGTTTATCCTTTCAATGATGAACCTAGATCTATTTACTACTATGTACCTTAGCCTTTCAAGGATATGCCAATACCATCCTCTGAAGTCACTGGAGCAATTAAGCAAGCGTGCTCTCTTCAAAGTTTTATTTGCTTGTTTGCTTAAGTAACTAGGAGCAAGCATGCCTAAGTAACTTAGGGCATTGCGAACCAAAGTTCCAAGCTACTTAAGCAAGCATGAAAACAAGCAAAAGCTTTAAAGAGATTTCAAAGGGAGCAAAGAAAGCATGAAAAGCAGACAAAACTTTAAACAATAAAGTTTTGTTTGCTTGGTTGCTTAAACCACTAGTAACTTTGTCGTTTCGTTTCAGCAAGTTTTAGCCTATTCCCGTACTTTTAGGAGGTCAGGCCCGACAGCGGCTGCCGTCGTCTCGGTTCGGCCTCCTGAAAGGTCGGAGGCCCACTATTTTCCGAACCAACAAAGGTACTAGTGGTTTAAAGTAATTTGGAGCAAGCATGCTTAAGTAAGCAACTTGGAGCATTGCCAACCAAACTTCCAAGCTACTTAAGCACGCATGCAAACAAAATGTCAAAAACTTCAAAGGGACTTCAAACTTTGAAGGGAGCAAGCATGGGTAATAGACAAAACTTTAAACAACCAAGTTTTGTTTGCGTGGTTGCTTAAAGCAATTTTGAGCAAGCATGCTCAAGTAACTTGGAGCATTGCCAACCAAACTTCCAAGCTACTTAAGCAAGCATGAAAAACAAGCAAATTTTTTAAAGAGACTTCAAAGGGAGTAAAGCAAGCATGAAAAACAGACAAAACTTTTAACAACCAGATTTTGTTTGCTTGGTTGCTTCAAGTAATTTAGAGCAAGCATGCTTAAGTGAGTAACTTTGAGCATTGCCTACCAAACTTCCAAGCTACTAAGCGAGCATGAAAAGAAAAGAAAAAGAACTTGAAGTAAGCAAGGCAAGCATGAAAAGAAAAAAATTACATAGCCAAGTGACTTAAGCATATTTGCACTTTGAATTAGTACAAGTTTTATTAGCTTACTCGCTTTTTTTTTTTTTTTTTTTTTTATAAATTTAAACGCCCCCACCAGTATTAGTGGTGCTGATAAGAGCAGACACCACTAGCACCAGGGGAGAGGCTCCATCTATTGGTGGGGAGCGGCACCTGCTGGAAAACGGGTCCAGTGTCCCATATACACACTGAAATTTGAAAGAATCAGGACAAGATTGAGTTCCTGCCAGCATTGATTACCCGGGAAACCAGGGGATTGACTGAGCAGGCAATTGGATAGGGGGGGGAACCTCTTCGCCCTGAAATCGGCGCCAGATCCCTGCTGTTACACACTAGTTCTCCCCCCCCTTACTAATGAAAAGCTTTAGAGATTAGGATAGTACCTAAGCAAGAAATCAGATAATTTGAAGAATTGATCTCATCCTACATCCATTTTAGGCGCCCGCATACCACTGAATCTCGACCATTGAATTCGCAGCCGGCGGGAAGGGATCAGGGAAGTCTGAAGAGGGCCGCAACTGGATGGAGGGGTCTATTCTAGTCCAATCATGAAAGTGGAGGTGGTAGTCCCTTTCCAACTTCTCCTCAATCCCTCCCTCCCCTCCCTCCCCCCCTTTCCAATGCACATTTGCTATCCAAACTCCTTGTTCCCCTCCCAGCCAGTCCATACAGAAGGATTTGATTCGCATTTTGATTTCTGCTTTTGAGTGTATCAAGGCTAATTTTTCCTTTACTTTTCCCATTGGAACATAAGGTCCACCTGAATCTGGTGTCAGATAGTCTCTATGACAACCGGACCTTCAAGGCGGACTCCCTCCATCTCTCTGATGCACCTTTTCCACCAGATTGCCCAAAAGATTGCTCTTCGTCCCACTATGAACATGTTTCTCTCAAAGATGCTCGCTTGCTCGAGCTGCCATGTTTCACGTAGGATTGATTTCCAGTTCCATGGTCAGGGGGTTGTTGCGCCTAAGAGGCGCCATACGCGGTCCCACCATCTCCATAACCAGACTGACCAGGGCATTGCAGAAAGATGTGTTCAATTGTTTCCGGTCTCCGCCTTACGGGGTATGATGTCACACATAATTTGCACCAGGGGAGAGCAAGGCCCTTCTGTTCTAAAGGAGTTCGGTCAATCACCCAGTCATTTGTGGGTAGACAGCGGTGTTCCACTTGCCATTGCAAAGACGCAATCTTGTTTGGTAATGACTTACTGAGCCTAAACCACTTAATGGGTCGCAAAGCATTCCTTTCTAGATTCAGGTGCCTCATCCAACGCTCAGTTACTACATCCCTTAGATTCACCTTTGGACGTAATAGACGGTAGGCTCCCTTAACTATCATTGAATGAATCCATTGTCTTCCTGCCTTCCTTCTGCCTAGCTGGGTGGTCCAGACCCAAGAGGCCGGATCAAAGGCCAGGTGTGCAATTGAGGTATCAGGTTTGTAAGCCAACCACTGATCTCCTTCCTGCAACACCCTAATTCGAGAAATTTCCTCTTCTTTAGGCCACCTTATCTCTTTCGGGTGTGTCCTAACCAGTCTGTTCTTACTTTTGATATGAAAGAGATTCACCAATACCTCTCCATCCGGACGGCCGGATACCACCACATTCCCCACCAGTTCCACACACCCCCTGATCCCTACCCAGCCACTCACATCCAAGGTTGACCCTTTCTTTAGAATTCTCACCCAGTCCAATGGCAACGAGAAAACAAATTTTTCAAGAGCTTCTCCAATATTGTGACAATATCGCAGCCTCTCTCTCAGCTGGGCTTCAGTGATCCAGTCTCTGGTATCCACATCCCAGATATCCCCAACTTAAGGACGCCCTGACTTACCCACCCCTTCCAGGGGGATTCGGCGCAGAGGAAGACTGTTCCTTGGGAGTCAGTAACCCACCGGTTTTCGAAAAGCGACTGCCTGTACACCTCTTCCCACCGTCGCGGGGCTACCTTGTCGGGGAGTGGTAGCTTGCGCCACGTGGTGAGAAGCATGGTCCAAAACTGGTGGTTTCTAACATCTGCCCTTGCCGCTCGTCTATTCGAGGCTTGTTCCTCGTTGGGTCTTATCGATTTCTGGATCGAAGAGGAGGTTTTTGATCCATTTTAGGGCCAAGGCCATAATCTGTGTGGCGGGATCTAAGATCCCCAAGCCTCCTTTTGATTTCGGCTGGATGATTGCACGCCAAGCGACTCTGCTAAACATTTTTTTACACTCATGGTTTCCTCTCCAGAGAAAAGCTGCTACCTGTCTTTGGAGGGGGTGTAATGTTGTCCTATTAAGTGACCAGATAGTTGTCTTATACCACAAAGATGCCCACACCACGTTTTTGATGACCAGGGCCCTTCCCGTCAATGATGTATATTGATTCTTCCACCGTGTCATTTTTTCCAGGACTGGTTGTGTTAACCATTCGTCATTGGACGGAGGACGGCCCTCAACAAACATTTGGATCCCCAAGATTCTGATAGGTGAGTTGGTTGGTACCCATCTTATTCGAGGAGACTCTGGTGGCCTACACCCCTGGTAATGAATCCACCACCCCTCAGTCTTGCTTCCCCAGTTTACTCTCATGTCTGACGGGGTGCAAAAACGATTCATCAGCGCTTTAATTTCTTTCATATTTCCAGTCGATGCGTCGACCATAATGGTGAGATCATCTGCAAACAACGAGCAAATTGGAACTACCTCTTCCGGGATAGAGGTTACACGTATTCTTTGAATTATTTTGTGTGCTCTCAAGTTTGTTGTCAGTGCCTCCATGATTATAAGAAACAAAAAGGGGGCAATCAGGTCTCCTTGGCGTACCGTGCGTTCTAAAACAATGGAGGGGGCCAACCTCCCATTTATCTGTACCCTCGTTGTGGCACTATGATGCAGAATCTCTACCCACCTCCTGAAGCAAGGGCCAAAGTTTAGTTTCTCCAAACATTTATCAAGGAAGAACCAGTCCACATGGTCATAGGCTTTTTCAAAGTCAATGAAAATTATCGCCACATTGTGTTTAGACTGGCGTGACTGTTTTATTACCTCATTTATTAGAAGGAGAGTATCTTGTATTTTTTTGTCTTTGATAAAGCCAATTTGTGATGGGTGGATGATGTCTTCCATTATTGGGATTATACGGTTAGCCAAGGCTTTCGCCACCATTTTGTATACCACTGTCAATCGGGTAATAGGTCGGTGGTTTCGAATATGCATTTTATCACCTTTCTTATATAGGAGAGATAGCACCCCTTGCCCCACCACTTCCCCCATTTGCCCTGACTCCCAGACGGCCCGGTAGTATCAATCCAGTTGACAGAAGCAAACACAAAGCAAAAAGCAAAGTAAAGAAAAAGAAAAGTCAAAGAAAAACAAAAGAAAAACTAAGAAAAGGCTAAAGAAAAGCAAAAGCAAAAGAAACCCAAAGCAAAAGCAAAGCCACACAATAAAAATTAAACTCGCTTAAGTAACTTGGAAGTGTAATTTTTGTTGTGTGGCTTTGCTTTTGCTTTGTTATTGCCTTTTGCGTGGAGTTTCTTTGTTTTTTGCTTTGCGTTTGCTTTTGTCAACTGGATGCAAGCTGCTGCGAAGCGGTACGCCTAAATCCAACAAATTTAGGTTTAAAACGGGCTTCCTATTCAAGTTATAGAATCATACATTTATGTTGTTTCTGCATTGTTTTTCATTGCTTTTCTCTAGCTGTTGCTTTTCCTTTTGTTGTTGCTTTCGCTTTCGTTTTTGCTTTTGTTTTTGTTTTTGCTTTTGCTTTTGCTTTTGCTTTCTTTCTCGCAAATGTTGAATGATAAGAGTAAAAAACAAAAATACTAAATGATAAAATAATAAATAATGAAATAGTAAATAACAAATAGCAAATAGTGAATAGCAAAATAGCAAATAATAAATAGTTAACGGTTAATTTTGTACCTGCCCAATTAGTGGATGAATGAATCACGTCAATTCATAATACTACATGTATTTGATTATTGATTCGCAAACAAATCAATGGTGAAAAAAAACATCTTTATAATAATGTTATGCACCTTTTTTTTTCTTCTTTTTGGAAAGAACAAAAAGCAAATGTGTAAACTATGACCTGCATGTCGAGTGACATGTGAATGAATATTTGACAGTTTTTGGGATGTGTAATTCTTTTGTTTTTTTTTGCAGCTCCTGACCCATTTCTAGTTGCAAGTGGTTTTGTGGACAAGGAATTCAAAAAATGCACTATGGAACCTGATGGATCATCAAATTGCACTGAGGGAATGTAAGTTAAGTTTTTATGTAAGTTAAATTTTTAAAGATATATTCTAAAAATAGTTACTAAAAACTTGAGGAACTAGACTCAAGTTTTTTTTTTTTTTTTTTTTTAAAGGTTCAACAGTTAAACTTTTTTTTCTTGTTTTCCCTCTTAAACAACCAGTACCTTGCCAAGGTAGACTTGAAAATCAAAATTGCAACAATCTAGGTTCTTTGGATGAATAGTGCTAGATGACCAAAATGGTTGGTGGCACCAGCCAAAAGAAAAGAAAAGAAAAAACATCGTCATAACAACTCGTTCAAGATGGGTGAAAAGTTGAAAACTCTAAATGTGGATATGGACTGTGTAAGCAGGGTGAGTTTTTTTTTTAAAGTTAAGCACAAACCAGACAAAGGTTCAACACTTCAATGGTAGATAGAACACAAATGTTCATCTTACAACAAAAAAAAAAAAAAAMAAAAAAAAAAARATGTTTGCCTACGAGGAGTTTGTTGATTGATCGTTCCACATTGGAGCAACACAGGTACCCTTCTCCCATAGTGCAAAAACTGTCTAGCAGCATACACCAGCAGAAAGATAAAGGAAACAATATAACACATTTTCCTGACATGTCCCAAAGCCACCTTGCTTTGGAGGTGGTATGGAGTGGAGGTCTAAGCACCAACAAAACAAAACAAAACAAAACAAAAAGAAAGGTCATCCAACCAAACAAACTTCCAAAATACAAAATTGACGCTCTGAATGAAGTTCAAGCAACAGCCTGTGAACTCCACATGAGGCATTTTCCATGAAGCCCAGGGTCTTTCCTGAACTCTCCTGGAACCTTCTCAGAAGAATCACAGTCGGGTGTGGGATACTTGGGTGCCCCTGTTGGAAGAATGGGACCCAACTTTGAAGGGTTGCTCGGGGTTAAGAAAGAAGGAAGACTTAGACGCTCTGAGGTGCGGTGCGTGCTTCAGATGTAGACTTACGAATTAATTGTCCGGTAAGGCTTCTATTTTTGGACCCTTGGGGAGCCCCTCATGCCGCACGTGCCTCCGCAATAAATTTTTCCTTCCCGTTCCAGGCCGGAATTTGGCTTACATGAAGGACGTGCACCGGGCTGGTTAAAAAAAGAAAAAGAAAGAAAAAGTTATCACTCTATAAAATTTCACTCCTACATGGACATTCTCCCAGGCCAAGGTACATCTTTCTGACCATAGTGCCCATTTAATCACCTCCTTCCCCATTTGGAACCAATTCGCTGTGAGCCCAGGGCTCTCTTAAAAATTAGACGAGTCTCTTATTTGCTCCAAATCATACAGCCCAACTCCCCTGTCCCCACTCTATTCAATTTTTGCAATCCATCCTTCTCTTTCTCCCCCCACCCAGTCTGTGCAAAAAGTCGTAATCCGTCTCTTGAGGTCTCCAATTTGTTTGAAAAGGTCTAATTGAGGTATTGTGTCCAACCATCTCCACGTAAGCTCAAGGTGAATCCGCTGTTGTATCTGTTCTAGAACTTCCGCCCCTTCCACCCGCACCCTCTCCATGGCCAGGGTGCACCTTTGGCACCAAAGAGCCCAAATCACTACTCTCCTTCCCAGTCTGTACATATTCCCTACGAAGGTCGAGGCTGTTTCTGCCAGCGGCCAATGCCCAGCCAATATGGCCTGCCATGACCAGGGCCAGGGAATGTCTGGTTCCATCTTCCGCCATATACGGTCCCACCATCTCCATATAAATTGAGCAATCGGGCATTGCATGAAGATGTGCTCAATGGTCTTCGCCTTTTTGTGGGGGGGAAAGAGACTTTGGCGCCGCTGATACCAAGGGAGCAACATTCCTCTCTGTTCGAGGGTTGTGCGGTCAGCCAACCAATCCTTGGTTGGCAGACATCGGTGTGCTATTTGCCACTGAAGGGAGGTGATTTTCATGGGCTTGGATTTTTGTTCCTTGACACTTGTGAACTTTTGCTGTGCTCTTATTTGGTGGAACTCGTGTTGCAATTTTGCTTTTGGTTCGAGGTCACGCCTATCTGGTTACATGTGTATGATGCTGCTTGGTTTCTGGGATTCGCTATCGCTCATTTCCTTGCAATTTGGTATCGGAGTTGTGGTACGTTGCGCTAATCTGGCGCTTGTCTTCTGCCTATGCGGTACATGCACGCTGTCTGCTGGGCGAGCGGCTGTGGTAGGTGTGTAATGAGGAGGGCGAAGGCAAGCAAGCGACCCAGGTGGAGAGGGAATCGCCAGGAAGGCTATGAGGTGAAATGGGTGTTCGCAGTGTGATGAGAAGTATCTGAAGTGTGATTGATGCTGAGGTGGAACGACAGTGTAATGCTGGTTGTGCCGAAGTAGTTGGTCATCACAATCGGCATCAGGTCATCTGGTGAGAATATCTGTGGTTGGGGGCAGCTCTTTTGAGGTAAGTTGCTCTTAACCTTATCTACCCTCTTCGCCGTGAGGATGAGTGTTCTGTCTTGAGAGTCCTCTCATGTGAGGAGTCGAGTGCGCCTAACCTTGAGAGCCGACATTGTTCACGTGGAGCATCTGGAAGGAGAGGGCGGAGCTATCTGAAGGGCCCTGGACGAAGCACTCGGTCACGGTCACCATGCCAACCCACTGGAGTAGAGCACGCATGCTTTGCTGTCCTTTGTCTGCCTGCTGTGCTGATAAATGGGTTATGAGGGGCAGGCCAGCCCTACAGGGTAGACGAGTACCGGGCGTCTATAAATAAGCACCGGCGGGGTTACCTTCCATTGGTTGTGATCGTCGTCCTGTCTGCGACGTTAAATAATTCCTGAGGACTTTGGGGGCCGTCCTTAAACGCCTCTTGATCAGCCAATCGGTCGGTGTAAGGCTCGCTGCACGCTAGGGTAGCCATTGTGCAGGGCTGGCCAGCTCAACATATACTCGGGGCACAGGGGTGGGCCGTGTGCACACCTTTAGACACGCACGCCATCTGGATCGCTAAGGAACGTAGATGTCAAGCGACAATCAGGAAGAACTGAGGGAGGGGTAGGCTTCAGGTGATCAGTTCGGGAAAGATTCCACTCTGCAAACAGCAAACAAATGATTCTATTTTTATTTTGATTAGTTAGATGTTACAACCATTGACATCTGACAGACGGCATGGGTAGAACAATTTCTTCTTATCTGCTTTCTGTTTGCGGGCTAGTCAAGTAAAAATAGCTTCGTTTGTAGGAATCTGAACTTACCTGTTGGACCCAACTGTGTATACTCTGACATAGCCACCAATTAATTATTTATTTAATTTTAATTGGTTTGTACACTATGTTGCGGTAGTCACCTAGAGTGTTATAGTGCAGATTGTGTACAGTGTTGTAGCTTATGAGTGAGAGGGAGAACACTAGCGAGGACGATAGGATCTTGCGATCAGCAAGGCGCCCGATAGCCCACGCGGCGTTAGGACCCGAGGGTGACAAACTTTTGTTCCGCCAGCTTAGGGAGAGACAGCAGCAGCAGCGGAGAGCCAGGGCCGCAGAGGCAAGCAGGGTGTTCGCAAGCGAAGCCGCTACTTCAACAGCCATGGCAACTGCTGCGCAACAGAGTTCCCAAGCCAGTAGTTCAGGAACTGTAGAGGCGACTGTCGCACAGACCCTGAGTCAGTCCGTTGGTGTCATGGCGAGCCAGCAGTTATTGTTGACTCCCGAGGAGGTCGCCATACAACGAGCAGTTGCTCGCGAGGCACAACTACAACAGGGGTTAGGGGAGATGAAGGCAGAGAAAGAGAAAATGGTCAGAAGAAGAGCAAGGATGTAGCGGAGACAAACAGACGTTAGTGAGTTAGAGGAGATGGACCTGACAAATATGGATGACGATGTGAGGACCCTGCAAACAGTCCTGCTAGATGTAGTGGAAATGCAGGACCGCCAAACGACTCTCTTACATGACATTCAGAGGAGCCTGGCCGTGCTGGTCGGGCGAGTTCAGGCAACACCATCACCATCAGGGCCCGATGCCTGGCCTATGGTACAACCTCCTCCTTTTGTCCCACCAGTGACAGGGGTATCCCCATTTGTAGTCCCTCCAACATCGGTACAGGTTGTTTCCCTAGGTATGCCTTTGACAGGCGGGTTGCCAGCAGGTACTACTGTACAAATTCCTATACAGACAGTGTATTCCCAACCTCCGTTGCAGACTGCCGTAACTAGGCAGGCTGTTGTCTCACAACCAGCACAACCATAGGGCACACAGGCCCAACAACAGCTAGTGCAGCAGCCTGCGCCCCAGGGTCCACAACTGGGAGTGGCCCAGGTACCGGGACAAGGTCAGTGGGTTCCGAAGACGACGATCGCCTCACCCAAATCTTTCTCAGGGGATAAGAGGGGCGAAGACCTTGACACATGGTTGAGGTCAGTCTCAGTCTACGTAAAGTGTAAGTTGACCTTGCCGCACGAGGAAGTGCTTGTGGCTGCCTCCTACCTTGACGGGAGTGCAGCGGGATGGTTAAGCGGGCCAGTGCAACTACAGGGATACGGTCATGACTTTCGCACTTGGGCAGTCAACCAGAAACTGAAGGACTTCCTTAAGCTGGTGGAGGAAAGGTGGCATGATCCTCAAGAGGCCCAAAAGGCCACTGATGGGATCCTGGCTTTGAGCGCTAGATCGTTCCAGTTAGTAAGGGATGCCACAAACGCAGTAGAGCGTTTGATCTGTGTACCTGGAGTGCGTTACAACCCCCAAGTCTTACTGACCTCTTACCTGAGGTGCCTTCCCATGCCACTCAGGAATCAGTTGGCAGGTGAGGCAAACATCAATGTGCACAACTTTCCCTCGTTTAGCAAGGAGGCCCTAGACCTGGAAGTAAAGATAGGGCATGGGCACCAACCCACGACGAATGGAAGGAAGAAAACACTGCCTCCCAACTGGAAGGCGAAGGGCCGTATTATGTTCGTCGACAATGATGTTTCTACCATTGAGTTAGACGACGACTACCAGGAGGGAGTAGGTTCAGAGGCGGGCAGCGTAGAGGTTTCAGGGGGTGGAACAATCGCTGCCTCAGTC